TCCTTGGAAAAAAAGGGGGGTTGGGGGGGGGGGGGGTCGCGGATGAAAACGAGGGGGCGCGTGCGCCCGATATAAGAAAGGGTGTGGAGGTTGAAACATCGCGGTGCTGCTGTAAAAGGTGCACCTACGGTTGGTGCACGAGAAGCCACGAACCGATCGCACATGAATATGTAGCTTCGAAAAAACATATCTTCGAGTAGAGGTCTCAAAACAACGGACCACAGATCAAACTAGGCCTGGAGGGGGTGGAGTAGGGATAGGCTTCGAGGTTTTCAAAGACCCACTTTGCTCTCGTGTAAATAATTCCACTTATGCGCAAAAGCACATGTGGTAAATACAGGCATATTTTGACGCAGATGCTGAGTCTACCGCATGAACAATCAACCCATCCAGACACGGGAAAAAAAAAAATGGTATCGATATACGAAAAAGTAACACGAGGTTCAAAAGTCACCACCCCCTCGAAAAACGCCACCTCATCACCCTTCAAACTCCCATCCATGGTAGATGCAGTGCAAGCGACCGGTTTCCTGGTTCACTCGTCCCTCCGACAGGGGCGCCCATCGATGAGGGCACCTTCGTCCATCCATCGTCCATCACCCCCAACGCCAATTGTGTCCGAGAGGGGTTACACGGGGAGAAAGCACAAGGCAACAAACGCGTTAAGAGGTAGTTCGCAAAACGAAGAAAAGAAGAAGGGGTGCACACGTCGTCTTGTCTCTTTTTTCTGTTTCATTTTGTTTTTTCGGGGTCGTTTTTTTTTTTTTGGGGGGGGGGGAGGGTCTTTGTTTGTACGCGTATAAAAAGTCAGCTGGAGACCACGAAGGTCGTTTCAACCCCAGCAGGGATCAGCATGAAAGATAACATAGGGGGGAGCTGGGCTTGCTTGACTGCTATGACGACGGTTTCAACTAGGCAGCACGACAACAGCACGGGAAAAGTAGACAGCAGTGACCAAGGCTACAGACGAGCGCGCAACATCTTATCCCGACTATTGTAAATCCCCCCACCCCCTCATTCATTCAGAAAGCTGAGAGAACACGGGGGAAACGAGTCACTCTTACAGCCATGCCATCGGGTGGTGGAATGCCGCGCAAATAGACGGGAACGATGGTTAAATAAAACACACATTGAGACAAGCTGTAGTTTCTCACTTATCGGTGAACGCCTTCCAGCCATCATCCTTGGGGTCCTTCCAAACCACCAGCGACTCTCCCAGCAGCTAGAGACGGGGAGGGGCGGGGGGGGGTGCGTGGGAGGAGTATTTGTTCAGTTATTGGGGTTGAAAATAACCCAACATCTCATAGGGATGAAAATATTGTTCGTGTTATAGTCGCCTTCTTCATGTCCCAGCACATGAAGGTCTTCATGGCTCTTCCGAACCCGGCGCAGGTCCTGTGCTCTGATTGTCGTTTTGCGGCGGAATAGAGAACAGATCGGTCATCCAAATGTTTCTTTTGAAGTATCACATTTCTCCCGAAAATCTTTTCTTTTACCACCGGTCCAGTCGACACCCACTCGTTCCCATTCAAACCAACGAGTCGGCGAATCATTACCTTTTATTACCTCGAGGAGGATAAAAAAGCAGCGGCGGGTGCCGTCGGGGACACTTGGTGACATGATAGAAGACAACCGTCTGTGTGTCTGTGTGTATGTGTGCTTGGAGGCAACCGGAGGCAAGCTCGCCAGCAGCACGAAGGCACGCTGACCTTCGCAAATTTGCCCGCAAAAAAACTAGTGGAAGATGCAATGAATACAAGCAAACCCACATGAGCGGAGACAAAAGACACGCGAGCGACTAAATATGGAGTTGGGGGTGGGGGTGCGCAGTCTAGAACAAACTCATCCACGGGGCACAGGGTGAAACTGGCATGCGTGTCTGATGACAGCGAGAGTACACCCAAACCAAAGATGAGGGACACGCACAGGACGCGTTAAAGCAACACGTCGGGTTTAAAATGAAACACGTTGTTTTCGGACGTTGTTGTTCAGCAAGACAATACACAACATGCTGCGTGCAGGGTGTGTGCAGCAGAATAAAACGCCACCCACGAACGAACCTTGACGGGGTATGGTTGCCGCGGGTCGCGAGCCTCCAGGTCTCTCATCACCACCACCGGGTACCACTGCCTTGTCCACTCAAACGCCGCCTCTTGGTCTCGCACGCCCGTCTTCTCCTCATCTCCCTGTCGATTTTCCGGAAGCACGTTACAGTTGTACGCAGACTCAAAAAAAGAGGGATTTGAACAACGTTCAGTAGCCTTGGAAGGGATTTTCGATTAAGCAAACATGTTGGATAAAGCATGCAATCAATCGGGGAACGTGGGTTAGGGTTAGGGAATAGGGAATAGGGTCTGCGTACCCCCTCCCTGTTCTATTTCCTCATTAACTTTATCTCTCGCGAAGGCGGTCCATACCGTTCCGGGTGCTTCGATTTGTAGCTTCGGAGAACGCCGCGTCGTCCTCCGTCAGCGAGAAGAAATCGGACTGTACATGGGTGGCGAAATTTCCTGGAAATTTCTTTTGCACCTTCTGGCCGAAAAACATTCCGGCCTTCTCGACGTTTTTATCCGAAAGGGCGAAGCACAGGAGCAGCAGCAGCAGTAGCCCCGTGGCCTGCTACCCACTTACAACCCCACCAGCAAAACGAATGACCGTGCAGGCGGATCAATCACCCATGTGCTGATCTGCACCAACCGACCGCCACGCGATCCCCCGCCTAATTTGCCTCCAATGTATTCACCAACTAATTTATCACGTATGCATACCATCTAATACTAAACTATACAAGACCAACTAATTATACCACCTCCACTAGACGATGTATGTACCAACTGGTTTTTCACGTACACCATCCACCTTGGATTACGTGTATCTCGTCCACACCTGCCGTTCATCCAGCCCGGCCTGCCCTCCCCCGCCACCGCCTGGCGCCGATGCCGCCGCCGTGGATCGAAGCCCACCGACGTGACCGCTTTCCTTTCTAGCTGCGCCGTCGCAGCCCTTCCTTCCTCTAACGCCCGGTGTCGCCGCGTGCCACGGGCTAACTCTTGTCCCCGGTAGAGTACGTGGCCGGCTAGTTTGTGCTTTGATGCCCCCTCGAGGGCTGATGGAGTATGCCAGACAGCAGTGGTTCTGGCACACAAGACACAACGAGACATTACGTCACAAAAAGCGCATGCGGCTCCGTCGTGAGTTTGCGTCACCAGCAGCGCTGTACGTGGAAGGATGAGACTTCTTTCGAAAGCGGCAGACTGGATTCTCTCACGAGAGCAAAATTACCACGCCAGGCGTGACATAACCATGGATTCTGGAGTCAACACAACCAAAATGGGGTGTCGCCGAGTTCCTAGAAAATCCCTTGTCTATTCTCTCTCCCCCCTCGAAACCTTTGTGTGCAAACCAACACACGGGCGCATCCACAACCTGCCAGCCGCCGACACCGCGCCACACCCCCATGCAACACCTGTTCAACCGTGGCATCTTGAGCAGCAACAACAAACCTGTTTCTGCAACAATCGCCAACGCCTCTACGTCGCCTGGTGCGTCTTCTACCTGGCGCGGCGATCGTGATGGCCTGTGGGAGAGGTCATGCGGACGCAGCTGCCCCCTCGGAGACGAGTGCCCCCCCCGACTTCGCCGAGCACGATGGGGATCGTCGGAACAAACAGCCAGGCCTGCGGGCTCGCAAAAGGCCTCAGTGCCAACCGACCCGAAGGCGACTCCGACCCACACGCCGCTTCTTGCGAAAAATTCGGACCGTCGAGCTTCGCGGCGCACAACTCCAGGATGTGCACAGAACGCGCCCAGACACACCGCTTAGGGGGCGGCGATTGCTCAATCGGGGCATATATAAAAGCGCCTCGCCCGAGCATTCGCCGCCCTAAAACCGGTGCCTCTCGCATGCTCCTCGCAGATCCTGGAGTTGTGAGCTCGACGCCGCCATGAAGCGGCGTATTTCGGAATCGCCTCCGGGTCGGCACTCGGGGCTTGCAAGTCCGCAGGCAAGCCTGGCTGTTGCCCAAGAGCTGCACCGTGCTCGGCGAAGTCGGGGGGCCAAGCGTCGCCGCAGGGGTGGCGGCGTCCGCATCACTTCTTCCCAGACCATCACGATCGCTGCGCCAGGTAGAAGACGCACCAGGCGGCGTAGGCGCGTTCGTACTGCTGTTTGCAGAGCAGGGTGTTGTTGCTCAAGGTGCCCACGGTCAAAACATGGGTTGGTATGTGTGCGGTATGGCGTAGCAAGAAGGGTATAGGCGATGGGCAACAGTCCCTTGTTTGAGTTTTTCGCAGGGTAACCCCATGCGTTATTTACCTAAAATTCCGATCTGAAAAGTTTCCCACAGGAGTGGTATCTGAATGACAATACTAAGACAGAGCACTTCAGTTTGTAGATGCCCCGGGCTACTATTTTCAAAAGTTTACAAGAAAGTTAAGGGAAGAGTGCGTCCCCTACCGACTGAAACAAGAAAAGCCTCCATGTCTTTAAAAGAACGACACGGGTGCGCGGCACAACAGGGGGGGGAGGCACAACCCCACAAACACTCTGTCGTAACACTTATCGAAAAGAAGATGTCCGGGCGGTGGGGTCGACCGCTATCCGCACTGCAATTGCAAGAAAACTAGTACGCCCCGTGCACAGCGCGCAGTTCTAAGCAAGCATACAGCAGACAGAGAGTATACGCAATGCCGTGCGGCCCGCTGCAGCACCAGCAGTATGGTAGTATAGTTATAGCATCATCATCATCAGCGGTTGGTTGTTCTTGGCGGAACGACAACAAAATAAGAACACCATCGCACAGAGGTTAACCAAGGACCGCCGTCCGACGATAGACTAAAGCCTTGTGTTGTTGTAACTGTCAGTTTCGCTGTCCTGAAAACAGAGCGGCGGCCAACCCAACGCCCGCCTAACTTCTTACACATCCATCAGGTGGACGTTGGATAGAGACAAAGAGAGAAGAACCGATTCAACGCAAATAGTAATACCAACGGAGGACCTCTGCAACCGCTTTGTATTGATGAGATTTTTTTCTCTTGACGTACGTGACTCTGTTATGGTCCTTTTGTTCTTGTCTGCGATCGCCGAACTAATCGGTCCCCACATCCACGCCCTTTGAGCGTTGGGTACACTACGAAGCCTATTTTGAAAGACACATTAACCAGCACGATATTGGGACACCTGTATCTTTCATTTCCCCGTTTCCCGTTTCCGTACTTGTACACAGCAGTTATTCTCTGGAGAGCGAGGAAGATTGTCAAAGCAGACGGATCTCACGTGTTTGCTGTTCTGTCAGAGCGGGGGTTGCCCCGTTCTTTGTACCGATTTCTGCCCTGTCTGGGGTAAAGCAGCGCCTCCGGCCTCTGGTCTTTTTGGGAGGGCGCAAAAGAGCTTTCAACCGCGGCATCGCGGCATGCACTGCTGTAGGCATGTTGTGCAGACCACCACGGGCTGTTCATACTTTTTTTTCACGATATTGTCTGCATGTTGACCGGCGATCATCATAACGAGCACTCGATGGTATAAACTGCAGAATGCACGGTAGCAGAGAAGTTTCACCGCGAACGAAAAGTACGCGTAACTGCGCACACTGTTGACCGCGCACTTCTGTGCTCGGGGGTGCGGCATGTGCAGAGTCTACATAAACCGATGGAAAGAGAGTCATCAGTCATCAGCCTTCGTGGAAAGAAAACACGTCTCTCAAGATGTCTTACCTGACTGTCACGATAAAAAAGCGCCAACACCACCAGCGTCCATAATCTTAGCTGCTTAAGCACCGACAGAGCTCCGGAACGGCCCATGGCATCCCCGATCTGCAAAATCAGATCTGCAATGGGCTGCTGTGGGTCTCAGGATCATCATGCATCCTGCATCTCCGTCACGGCAAGGCACATAGGGAGAGGGGGTAGGGAACATCCAAATTATCGTCGCGGGCCCCCTCGACAAACTTGACTTGACAGTGCTGGTTGCCATGGCGGGTGTGCTTGAGTGCGTGTCACAGCTTTATACCATAATCTCTCCTACTACTATGAAGACTTATTACAGGTTGACAGCATTGCTCGTGTCCCTAGTACTTTCGTTTGCCGAAGTGCCACGGTCTGATGGCGAGCTGGAGCAGCAGCAGTGCAACGAGCTAGGATTCACAGGTGTTGCCTGTTCCACGTGCAAGAGGTTCGAGGAGATCGTCGCCGATGAAAGTGAGAGAGAGAGAGAGAGAGAGAGAGAGAGAGAGAGAGAGAGAGGGAGAGAGAGAGATAGAGAGAGCTCGTTCACAGCAGGTTTCTGAGAAAACGGGGCATGTTCGGATGATGAGGTTTGGGCACTATGAGTCTATGGCTGACGCTCCCGCGAGAATTCCCCTCTGTGGTGACATTACATTTAGAGTTCGTCGACCTACAGCAGTACACTTACCCTAACCCTTAACCTATTTAGTACCCAGCTCCGCAAAAAAAATGAAGGATTCGGTATAACCGTGAATCCGTGGTTTGTGGAAGCGTTCCGGAAATTTCGTGAAAGAGCGGCGAGAGACAAAAAAGGGTACACGGGGGTATAGCTATATACATTGTACAGGGTACAAAGAGAGAGAGGTTGGCAGAAGCTTTGGCATCCTTGGGAAGCCGAGGACCTCGAAGGGAGAAACGTTGCATCGCCCGCAAAGGAAGTGCAGCAAAGCAGCAGCGAGAGAAAAGAGTTTTCGTTTGGGACTTGATCGAAATTGATCGAATCTTGTCCTAGACACGCCGGAGTGATGAACAACGGCAACAACCTGCAGCAGCAGGGTCAGCCCCCCCCCCCCAGCAGCTGCAGGCAACGCAGCCAGCGCCACCTCCACCGCCGCCACCGCCGCCTCCCGAAGGAACACCGCCCGCAGCTAAACAAAACAGTGCAGCGGCGGGGGCGGAAGAACAACAACCGCGGCTCCCCCTGGGGGGGGAAAGGGAGTAGCAACGGGAAAACCGCCCGCAAGGGCGGCGGGAAAACAAAAAGGGGGGGGAAAAAAAAACCCGCCCCCGGCCGCCGGAGGAGACCAGAAAGCGGGCGGAGCCGCGTCCGCCAGGGTGGGGGGGCCACCTCCCCCCCTCAACCCAGTCCAGCTACTGCTGCAGATGTCTGTACTCCTAAAAGAGCAAAGCGAACGACTCGGCAACCTGGAGCTCAGGATGCAGCAGCAGCAGCAGCAGCAGCAGCACCCGCAGTACCAGCAGCAGCAGCAGCATCAGCAGCAGCAGCAGCGGCCTGGCCACGTCCCCCCTGGCGGCCTTCATCAGCAAGGCCAGCCCCAGCCCATCAATCTCCCGTTAGGTGGCCAGCTCATGCTACAGCCCCAGCAAGCGCAAGCTATGGGCCCAAACATTAACGTGTCCAACCGGGCCCTCAACACCCATGTA